ATTTCAGTGTAATAGAAGTGGACCTAAGTGAGGTGATAATTCATATTTTTAAATGGGAAGTATGATTTGATGCAGAATTATGAGTATAAGGAATAAGTGTTTACAGCAGTATGTATAAGGCAGAAGAAAACTTCCATATATCAGAAATGTCAGGACTTTATCCACAAGAATACTGAAAGTGAATGATTTGTTTTCATACGATGAGTTTCATGTCATTATTATACATACTCATATCTGTTGTATGCTTTGAGTTCACCATTCTGAAAATTGCATATCTTTTTGACATTTTGCATTCTAATGCCACAAGACAATAATTGATGGTGTTGGTTTCTAGCATTTGTTTTGTATGCATACTTCGAATGAAGTACATGAAATTAACACACAATGGAGGGCTCTGTCTGTGTGTTTCATCTCCAGAAATATTGGTACATAATAAGTTTGGGTGTAATTTGGTACTTTACTTCAGTAGCTGCAGAATTGGCCGCTCTTCCAGAAGGGCTCAGCTCCATGAGTAAGTAAGTAAGTATGTCTGCATTAGAAGTGTTAGGTGGATTTAATTTTGTTTCATTAGCAGGACTAGTATAACTCTACTTCACATGAAGCTCAAATCAAACTTCACCTTTTTCTCAGAAATAGCTCTGTATGCAAGAAATTGGTACAGTTCCATGACATAAGCAAATAATTCCTAGCAGAGCTTGTAAAGTCTACTTTCCTAGTACATAGATTTCTTGCTGTGCAAATCTGTTAATGTTACTGCTACTACTACTTGTGAAGAATTTGTGTAAGTACAGATCTGTTTCTATTAAATTTGTCTATAACGTCGATGTATGACACTGTTGCTGTATTTGTAACTGTTAACCTACAGTACTGTTTCACATACCATGTTTAGGTATGCATATGACCTTTCTCTGTACCAGATGTCACATGCCTGTCTCCAGTATTCCAGTTATCACCATCAGACTGAATGCTAAAGATAGTTTTTGCATGACATACCGTTAACTTATAATCTACAAAAAAAATGCTTTAACAGCATTTGCAAGTTTTATGATGATCTGCGACCATACAATATTTCAGCCTCCTAATTTGTTTTCTTCCACTTCAGAAGTTTGTGTCTCTACCATGTTCTTATTACTGAGTGCAGAATATTAAAAATCATGCCAGAGTGTCATCTGGCAGTGTAACGTTCATACCAAGTTTTGTGAAACTTTGTTAATTATTGACTCAACATTTGCAATGGAGGACACACAAGCACCATCTAATTTCATAAGGCTTCTCTTTGGGGGGGAGGGGGGTGCTGGAAGGAAAGTAGGATAAAAAAAATGAGTCTCATTTAAGGCATGCAGCATAGATTTTAAATGCTTTTTAGTGAGTATTTGATGAAGAACAGAAAACTGATTTCTGACTTAGCACATTGTCTCTGTAGCAGTCATAGCTTTGCTTGAATATAGTTTTATCTCTAATGACTCTGTATCTGCATTAAATGAACAAGGCCAGTGCGGTATACAGGATCACAAAGAACACATTTGGAAGGTGTGGGTACTCCATTGAACTATGCATTTCTGTATTTTGTACTCTGCAGATGGTAGTACACCATAACAGATAAGTGGTTTAAACAAAACTGCGAAGTTTCAAAGAGGGATCTGAAAATGCTAGCTATGGATATGTGCTGAGGGAAGAAAAAGAACTGATTTTTTTTTGTAGACAAAAACCATACTTTATAGCGTACAGCCTGTTGCTTGATTACACTAATCTGATTGTCATGTTCTGTCTGTGCATATGTGAGAATGTAATACCTGTTCAGCTGTTCATTAATAATCACTACATGTTTTGACCATCCAACTAGTCATCATGAGGCAATACAGTCCTTACAAGTGTTTTCAAATTGCCGCTACTTTAACTAAAATATGGGCCCATATTTACAATCATTTTTGTCTACTATCACTGCTCTAAGATTATAAAATTGCCATATTGGAATGTAAATTACATGACTGCATGACATGCAGTTTAAGCTATACAGCCCAAGAATACACAAGTGAAGGACCATAGCCCAGTGGGCTAAGTAACACCAATCTTCCTATTCCAAAGTGTTGCATTTATCACAAATGCTAATCAACACTGAACTGACAATGGGATGAATTGACTATACCCATACAGCAATTTTGACTTAGAACTCATTTACCTAATTTTACTGCAGTGTTAACAGGATTAATTTTACCTAACCTACATTACAGTATAGCATATTCTTATATTTTATGATTTATATCAATAATCCAGCACAGATAGAAACAATTGTAAACATCAGCCCATATTTTAGTTAAAACAGTTGCAATTCAAAAACATTTGTTAGTATTGTATCACCTGATGATAACCAGTTGGTTGTTCGAAACATGTTGTGATTATTAATAAACTCTTGAATGGGTATTACATTTTCCAAGTTGCATAGACAGAACACAACAATTAGATTAAAAGACTATAGTTCTGAGAATATTTAGGGGGATAATCGTGAGCAGGCTCCAGATTTAATCACAAAAGCATACTGATACATGTGGCAGGTGATTTATCTATGTTTCCAGTTCAGTTGTAAATAATTTTGAGTGGTATGTTGTTCCATCTTGTTACTGTATTTGTTAGGGGTAAACATAACTAAAACACACAGAAGATAATTTTAGTTCCCAAAACCTTATCTCCTTCTGAGGATGTAACAGCACAATTTGAAATATTGACAGGACCAACATTTCTTTTATTATACATGGTTGGGGAAACTGAAAAATAAATATTCTCTATCTCAGCTTGGTAAAATAAAGTTGTCCAGCTGCTTAACTAAGAACCTCACCATGAACACACATAGTATATAGACAGTGGAGATCACTTTAATGCATTTATAATCACAGCACTAAATGAAAGTGAATTATTAGCTTAGAAGTTAAATAGGCTGAGTAGACCCCGTAGCTAGTGTTGGACATGGCAGCAAAGAGAAAACTGCTGCCTGTGCTGGTGATCAAATTCTTGTTCATCCCATATCCTAGTCACTGTACAGTAATGAAATTTAAATAACAAAGTGCTCATAAAGTCATCATGAACATGTAGTTGAATTAAAGAGACCTGAAAAAGCCTATGAGTTGTATTTTAATTGAATTTTTTAATGACTTGAATGTTAAATGCGTAATTCTGAAAATGTGCTGTTGGTAGTGTGTACAATGTGGGCACAAAATAAGTGATAAATGTAACAAATTACTGAATGCAGGAAGACGTAAATATATTATGGTTCCCTGATGCAGCTGATATGTATGCCCATGTGGGGAACGAACCATGTTGCTGTAACTATTTATGTAACTATTTGTACTGCATGTGATGTAGCTTCATGTCTCCTCCGCATGTCTAGTAAGTTGAAGTTGTGTTTTTGATGGTATTTAATCCATTAAATGTAAGAAAATTATGCTTAGCCTTATTTAAATATTTTTCTCATAGTTAAAATCTCTAGGGTGATCATTATTCTCTGGCTTGTATACTTAATTGCAGTATCCTCAGAACTAATATCCAGCCAATTGGACTTAAAATTTTGAAACATCTGGGTATGAAATGATTGATAAGTCAGTTTCAACACTTTGGAGCATGACATCCTTCCAATAATAATTACAAATTGAATTTATACCTAACTCATTGCATCTCCATTACAAAGACCACCCAGGTAATGCTGTTTGGGGAAGCAATAAATGTTTGTTTTGAGAATCATGCAAAACCCAGAAATGCACTCTAGGGCAGATTGTAGAGTTTTTGATATTAAAGGAGGTGGTACATTCACTGACCACTATGCTTTAGAGGTATTAGAACAACTATGTTATAAGCAGATAACCAATTTTATAATTCAATAAAAGGAAAATGCAGTCAAGCTGTTCACCTTGCATTGTTAAGGTAGTCAAATCAAGGTTACAGTATATAATAGAAAGTTTATTGTAGGTAAATAGATGTGAACTGGATTTAAGAGACTCAATTGCTTTAATTTAGAATTCATATCCAATCCAACTATTCAAGCCTTTATAGTCTGCTCGCAGACATTTTCATAAAATTACCCATGAAATAGAAAGACAAATGCAGTCTTAGAACAGAAATGAAATTTTGGGACAAATAGAATGAGCCAATATACAAGTATATTTCATGAGATTGGATGGCTATCATAATTGAAGCAGTGGTACCATTAAAACTGAACAGTTCTGCTATTTATGTGAATTTAAAAGATATATAACGTTACTTTTGCAGAGAGAACAAAAGTTTTGACTTTATTATTTGAGCTTTATTGGTTGATTGATTAAAAGGAACTGCTGTAGACCAGGTTTTACAAACACTGAAATGCTGTGGTTGACTTAGAAGCGATGTGTAAATGAGCATTGCTGCAGTTGCTTCATCTGGCTCCATTGTGCATGGTGTTAGATCTCTGAAGACCATACTTTTTAAACTTGTGCATACGATTTTAAACATTGTCAGACACATTTTCATGTCACTTTAGTGAAGAGTTAATGAAATTTGATTGTCATTTATCTTGATATGAACGTTGTACTGAATTTGTAAGAAATTATTATGTATGTATATAAGAGTAATAAATTATATGAACAAAGTAAAATAAAGTCTTGTTTTTATTTAACTTCCTGTTAAGAAATCTGAGCTGAAGTTCATTATGTTTTGACCGTTTATGTAGGTTATCATAGTATTTAGTGTCTTTGCTTTGTTTTCAGCTCATTATAAATTGTCAATAACATTAACAAAAGACTTTGTGCAATAGCTACTTTAATATCCTATGTACCTCTTGTCTTTCTTTTGAAGGAAATTCCTCTGTTGCATTTAATGATATAGTGTGTGATCTAATTTTCTGTGCACTCACGATTTATATGCTTATAACATGAATATAGAAAGTTAATCTTTTTGTCAGCTCTCCTGTAGTTTTAAAAATAACTGGAGTATACACATATGAAGAAACTATTGATGTTTGTCTTCTTTGTACATAGGATAGAAAGAGACTTTATTGTGACAAAAACCAAAAAAGGGAAACGATGTTTGTTGCGTGGTCAGTACAAATATCGAAAAGCCCGTGAAACGAAAGGTGGATTCATTGTATGGAGGTAATTGAACAATATTAGCATTGTGTAGCTGTAAATATTTTTTGTTTTAGTTTTATAAAAAATCCTTGGAGATAGCACCGACAGTTTTGTTCTGTAGGGATGATACCTAGTAACCAGTATGTTTAGTAATCCATCAGTCACATTTATTTGTAAGAAATTTGACTGAAGTTGATATCAGATTGTGAAACTGCCATGTGAAGTGCCTCAGGTTTGTCAAAATATGAATGCTGAATTTGTGAGAAGAAATCCTCTCACATTGTACTTAATATTTAGGTTCTTTATTTGATTAGTATGATTCCCTTTGCTGAATATAAAATAGCTGTCATGAAGCTGTTGAAATTTCAATCAAAAATTGTTAAAAACAAGCATAGTCAGACATACTTAATCTCATTGACTTCAACAATTCTAGAAAGATGGCTTCGTCTATACCAGGGGTCTCCAAACTTTTCGAACCATGGGCCACATTAGGTAATTCAGCACTTTCTACAGGCCAGATAAAATGAGAAATTAATAACTCTAGGTATATGAGTTTTATTGAAAGCACAGAATTTCATAAACTAAATACAAAGTACATGAGAATAAATTATTGTATATTAATGACGACAGACAGTAGCAGCAAATGCTCATATTTTCATCACAAATTATAATAAAACAATTAATGTGAATGATGGAACTCTTCTTGCATTCTTAAAATCTGATTAAATTGAGGTTCAAATTTTGAAACACTAATCACAAGTAGCGACTTTAAATGTTCATCGGATAAATTTGCCCTGTATTTCGACTTGATATACTTCATCTGGGAAAAAAGTTTGTTCACACAGATATGTCGTCCCAAAAATGGAGATAAATTTACAAGCAAATTTCTTTAAGTTTGGACATTGCTCAGAGTTCAGAAATTTATCAAATTCAATCAAATTTCCTTCTTTGTATTTGTCTTTAATATGATAATTTTCCTCAAGTTCAATAATTTCCATTTGAATTTGGCTTGGGATACCTGCAGCATCGCAGTCAAACGGATTTCGAAACAATCTAATTTCCTGAGCACTGGAATCCAGATCAGTAAATCGCTTTCGAAATTGTTCTTTCAAACCTGAAATGACTAAATTTGCAAATGAGGAAGGAAATTCTGCTTCACCCTCTTTATGCAACTCTGCATAGTATAGCATATGAACAAAGTTACAGTTTTTCACTTGGCTTTCCAGAAGTATCAACTTTTCTCTGAATGCCTTGATAAGTTCAAATAAATCACAGGCTAAGTTATTTTCACCCTGCAACTTTAAATTCATATGGTTTACCAGATCAGCAAAAAATGCTAATTTCCAAAGCCACTCGGTATCTGATAAAAGTGGTTCGTGGTGGTTTTTCTAGGTAAGAAATATATCAATTTCATTCCTGAGCTGAAAGAAGCGCGGAAGAACCTTTCCACAGCTAAGCCATCGAATTGAAGTATAATATGGCGGGTCAATAAGCTCAGAATCACATTTCCCAGTACTCACTGGAAAATTAGTTCGATTGGCGCATTTCTGCACAATTCTTTCGCGGGCCGAATGTGGCCCGTGGGCCGTAGTTTGGAAACGCTTGGTCTATACAAACAGTAAAGTTGATAAAATAGTAATAAGCACTCATTGGTGCTGGTGTCTATAGGAAATTTCTTTGACAAAAGCTGCCCATAAAAACAAACATAAAAAATACCTAACCTTTCTTATCTTCAGCTGTCAGCAGGACATGGCCATTGTCTAATTCACTACATAACACCAGAGGTCTATTTCTTTTAGTCACAACATGACCCGTTGTGACATTTTGTTGAGTGATTTTGTCCTCACTGCATAATAAATGCTAACAAACAGTTTATAGATTTTACTAATTTCTATTATTTTGGCATTACCACCATATGACCGATTCTTTTCCCATAGCATTTTCTAATCTTCCTGCATATTAATGCACTGCCACATATCACAGAATAATTTTGAATGTAACAGATAGGTGGAATCTTCAAATAAATAATTGCCATCTCCTGCTGTAGATTCTGTCTACCTATCCTCCATTGGCTTATACATTAAGTTATATAATTTATATGCTAATGGAAATTTATTTTCAGTGAAGGTTGAGACTGCATAAACGTCCACCTAATATAAAAGACCAAGATAATGAGATTAAGAAATTTAGGTCTGCTGTTAAAAAATTCCTATTTTTAAATTCATTTTATTCATTGGACAAATATTTTAACTGTGACAACAATTAAAGTTTTGGATTTGTTACGGGTGGTAGATGATGGTTTTTGTTCATGTTGTATATTAATATTTTTAACTGGTATGACATTACACAATTGTGATGCAGTATGTGATGTTTACTCACGTTGACTATTTCTATATCCATTGGTGTTTAACCATGTAAGGATTTCTGGAATGATGAATGAATGCAGAGCCCACCAAAGCATAGGTACCTTTCTCTCACTACCACCTAGTAGTTTTATCTGTAACTATGAGGGTTGTACTGAAAGTCATGAGCAACAATTTTTTGTAAAGTAACATGCTTAATTATTGACAAACCAAATACACCACCTCAGTCTACAGACCCTTCTTTATTTTCCCACATAATCACTGCTTCTTTGTACACATTTCTCCAAGCGTTCTGAAGGTTTTAAAATTCCCCTTCTGTAATATTCAATTCCAGCCATCTGAAGACACTGACGCACTGCTTTCTGAATTGCCTCCCTTTTCTCAAAACGTTGTCCATGCAGCTGATTCTTCACAAATCCGAGAAGATGGTAGTCGGAGGGTGCCAGATCAGGGCTATAGGAGGGATGAGGAAGAACTTCCCACCCCACCTTTGCAATTGCTTCCAATGTGAGGCGAGCGGCGTGGGGGCAAGCATTGTCATGCAGGATGATGATGTTTTGTCCCGGTCGTTTATCGCGCAATGCACGACGGAGCTTGTGCAGCGTCTGGACGTAACGAGCAGCATTGATGGTTTGCCCAGGTTCCAGGAATTCGGCCAGAATAAACCCCTCTGCATCCCAGAAGACTGTGCCCATCACCTTTGCAGCTGATGGCACTGTCTTTGCCTTCTTCTTTGATGGAGAATGCAAATGGTGCCATTCCATACTCTGCGTTTCGTTTCAGGCTCGAAATGGTGAAACCAGCTTTCGTCACCTGTCACAATACAAAGCAAAAAATTATCGCCTTTGTGTCAATATCTCTGCAGCAGTTCCAAGGTTATGGCTTTTTGCTGACCTTTGAGGTCTTCGTTCAATAACCACGGGACCCAACGAGCACAAACTTTCCTATAGCCCAAGCTTTCAATCATCTCCTGTACTGCACTGTGCCCTATTCCAAGTTTTCATACTGTTGTGTCCACAGTCACACGCCTGTCATCTTCAATGATCTCATCCACTCTTTCCTTGTTGCGTTCAGTTGAGGCTGTTCGAGGATGACCGCTCCGAGACTCATCTTTGATGCTCGTGTTCCCATCTTTAAAATGTTTCACCCATCTTCGAACACTGCTGACACCCATGCACACACTTCCATAAGCATGCTGAACTCTCTGGTGAATTTCTGCAGTAGGAATTTCCTCTTTCACAAGAAGTTCGATAACAGCATGCTGGCGAAATGAAATATTGTTGTTGGCCATTTTGTTAGGAGTGATACTGGGCACGTGATGTAAGCTATTGACATCACAAGACACTCAAGGTTAACACAGCAGCTGGTTCCACCCACCACCATACTCTCTTTCGTCTGCTGTTCCCAGGTTTCATGCAAAAACAAGTTGCTCGTGACTTTTGGTATGACCTATGTACTAACAGCAATAACTTGATAGAACATGCTTTTATATATTGATGTTTAAGCTCACAAAATTTCAGTGCTGTTTTTGCATACTCATGTGCAATGAGAAATTGAATGTTTAAAATCACAATTGACCACACATTTTCAAGTAAACTTAATCATTTGACTCAGACATTGCTAAAACCATACCTGCTATTTTTAACCTGATGTTCTTCCTCTTACACCATATAGTGATTGATAAGTATGTCTTTCAAGCTTGACAAAGGTAATTCAAATGATTAAACTGATATTTTAGCAGTCTTGAGCCCTGGGTTCCTTCTTCATGATATGGATGTTTGGCTGCAATATTTTTTATGTGATTCACATGATCATTAAATTCTGTCATACTATATGTCACCTTCAAATCTGTGAAATAGTCTGGAAGTTTGTGCTGTCTCCAAATAGTCAGTGCTTATTGTGCTAAGCCTGTTTCTTATAAAGAAAAGACTTCACTGTGTTGTAGCAGAATATGTTGCTTGAATATAGTTACTTAGCTTGTAGATATGCATGTTATGTTATATTGATGAATTGCTAATATAAAAATTTAATGCTGTGGAATTCATATATATTCAACAGCAATAATATTAAAGTCTGTAGAAATAAACATCTAGGAAATCTTACAACATCTACTTTCATTTAGATGTTTTAATGTAAATGCTGAGGCAAGGAAAAAGTTTACATTAATAATTATGTTATTCAGTGATCCAGTTCGGTACCTAATTTCCACTAATAAAAATCAGACTATGTTAAATTTTTGGACATTATCCATCATCCTTATTTTTATTTAACATCAGGAAAATGTCCAAAAAGTCAATGATCATATTAATATTCCATTGTCACAGATCTGTAGATCTTACGTTAAATATGTCAGATATAACCTCAACTTTTTGTCCCATCAGCGTGTTTGTAACTGTTTACATGTAAATAGTATTCATTCAAAATTTGTGAATTTGTTTATGATCTGTATGCACACAGAATGTCACATGACTAATTCCATGGTTCAGTACTTGTTACATTGAGTCCAAAAGTGTAACATGACATGCATGTTTGTATTTAGAACTGTACTAATCTTTATTCATATCAGTTGAGCCTTTCTTTGATTCTAATCTTACATTTAATATTCTAATTGTGAAAACTAAACAGTTACAGTCATAAGACTACATCCTGATGTCAGAAGAACTTAATCCCAATGTGTATATTTTTTTAGGTGCACAAATAGCAACTGCAGTGCTTTGCTGAGGACTGATACTGAATGTACTACTTTGTTTAATTCAAGAAATATACATAACCATAATGAGATCTGCTGGCAGAAGTTAGCAAGAGATGTGTTCCATAAAGGTTGCAAGTGTAAGAGATTTGGTGTGAACAGTAACAACTCACTCTGTCCTTGTTTTGCATCTACAAGTTCCATTGAACACACTTCTAACAACTAATTCTATGGCACATAATGCTTTATCCATCAGTACTTCAAGAGACAATGGTGGTGTACTGAGAACAGTTGATGGAATTGTGAAATATGCTCTCTTGTTTAATTTTGTGATTCCTCTACTAGGTCTGTATCCTGGTTACCTAATTTAATGGATACTTACTTAAACCATTTTGGTTTCGAGAAACAAAGATTTAGGAAATAAAATGATTATTTTCCCCATTTCAGTATTTCTGTTTGTCATGCCTGGAATTCATTTTATAACTTCTCTTGCTTCCCTGAATGTCAGAAGCTTGTATTGTGCTATTTCATTGGATTTTTATGTTACATGACTATTATACAGAATGGAATTCAGAAAATGGTAATGAAAGTGTATGTAGTTTATTGTGATATATGTAGACCTTAGATTCAAACCTGTATACTATACATATTAAGTGTGAGGTTGGAAATTAATACTGCAGTTAGTGTGCTTCATAAAAAATAGTTTAGTCAGTGTTATATATATGCATCTGTTATGCATGCATTGAAATAGTATATAACAACAGGAGCTTGTCAGCTGAGACAAGTGGAGGTGAACTGTAACACTGATGCAGTTAAATTTAACAGTCACTATTATTTCTCATGAATATGAAAATAATGTACATGCATCAGACTGAGTTCCATTATATTGCACATATTTTTAAGGGTGGAGTTAAAACAAAATAGGAATCATGGCTGCAGGTTCAGCCACCATTGTACATTCGTAACTACTTCTGATCACCAGACATTCACATCACACAGAGAAGGTAGCTTGGTGTAATGGTGTTGGTTTGTTTGCTTGAAACTACCCTGACTTGCACACTTTGAACTATTTCTCCCATCCTGTTCTGACTGCTTGTCCATTCTTCATTATGAGAATGATCAAAGTGAAGTCAAATATTTTGTCCTTTTTCCTTCCTTTTTTCAAATGATTACAAATGGTAATTCATATAAATATTTGGAAATATGAAAAACATGATAAAAACTAGTGGAGGGGAAAATGGTTATTTTATTCGACAGTGAGGCTGGTTACAAAAGCATACGATATTTCATGATACAGTGATGTATTCTGGCCTCATATTTCTAAAGAAATGTTAATTAAATATTCTGATAGTAGAATCAACTGAACACCACTAGTACCCACCACCTGCCTTTGGACATGATCTTCATTCACTTCCATCTGTCATTACTTTCATCTATCATAACAACCTGTTTCTGTAATATCCATCATAATGTTTTACTCCCGTATTCAAGTGGTCATTTTCCAGTAGGTTTCTCCACAAAGGTTCTGTATGCATACCCTATCCAGGCTACATGCACAGCCTATCATAGCCTCCTAGATTTAACTGTCCTAACAGTACTCCTTCACCAGTATAAGAAACAAGAGTTCATCATTTTGCAATTATCCTTAACTGTGTACGTCATTCTTCTTAGGCCAGTATATTTTCATGAGTATTTTATTTTCAAACACATGTACTTCATGTTCTGCCCTCACAGTAAAGAAATTACAGTATGTGTATAATATTTAGCATTTTTTCACATGGGCCCTTATTCGGACATGTAAGTGTTCTGCTCTTTATTACTTCCTTGCATACAAATAAATTACTTTACTTCTAGATTTTTTGGTTTCCCAAAATTCTCTATCCTTATTAGCAATTTAATACATGAGCCATCATGGAAATGGAGGTCCAGAATAAAATAATTTTATATAGAATGAGGAACATGTACCAGTATGAATATACTTTATGATGTTGCATAAACTCAGCAGAGAAAATCATGTTATTTGGATATCTGATGTATTAAATTAAAGTGAATTTTTTTTTTATAATTGTGTCTGTTACCAAGGAAGTATTTAATAATGATATGCATAGCAAAGCAGGGGCAGTAATGTTATGCACGTAGTCTGAAAGAATAAAATTATACAGCAGTTTTGAGTGTTTATGTTGATATTGAGATTATTTCATCCATTCTGTCACATATTGCAGATGCTAATTTTAGGTTAAAGATATTTGATTTTCCAGTTTCCCATTCTCTGAGAGCAGCCTGATTAGAATTTAAATTGTATATGCACTATTTAGATATTCATATATGTATGTGTGTTTGTCTTAGCATATCAGCTGTTGGCTCAATTCCAGGGCTTAGGAACTGCTAGATCTGATGAGTGGACCAAATGTCAATTTTTTATTTTTGTACTTGATATATTCAGGCTTTTACAATTAAGATGTCAGTTTGCTGGTGATGAAAACATCTTGTGTTGGTCCAGTGTGCCAATGTTCCAGAGAAATTTTCCCATGAACTATCCTTAGAGATGAAGTGCCAATTTCTCTGAAACATTATCATAGTAGGCCATGATAATATGGTGCCATCACTCTCTTTCTTAGATTTATAGCAGACGTATACAACAGCAGAGTAGAAATTATTAGCCAGGCTGAGACTGATCTGACCAGCTTCAAAATTTCTTGTTGAATTGGTGTGAAGAGCATCATTGAAATATTGGCATATTAGCATGTTCATGGACCCCAAATTTTGCTATATAAAAGCTATTTCCAGTGAAAATTACAGAGCTATAACATTCCTGAGGAGGAAACAGGCAGATAGACCTTTCCTGTTGAATGCAGAGAATTTCAGTAATATTCTTGACAGGTACTGTTTAATGCTACATGCATTGCAGAATGGAATATAAAATATAATGAATGCATGGTTCATTTTCATACACACTGTACAGCTCTCTCTCTATCTCTATGGCTTTACAGCCCTTTGGACCCTGGCTACTTTTCCAGTTACTTAATACTATACACAGACAGTGGGACTCTTTGGATGGGGGATCAGCCTGTTGCAGGGCCTGTACCTACACAGAACAACACAAATAGAATAAACACACAGACATCCATGCCTCAAGTGGGATTTGAACCCACGACCCCAGTGTTCGTGTAGGTGAAGACATTTCATGCCTTTGACTGCAAGGCCACTGTGATGTGTGTATGTGTGGGTGTTGTAAAGGAATTTATTTCAACTGGTAATTGAGTGTAGTAGTATGTTATGTAAATCCCCAGGTTTATACTTGCAGTTTTCAGAGAAAGACTGCACTATGCCTATGTCCCAGAAAGAAATCCATGGATGGTGAGGGTGAAAGCATTTTAGGCTTTCCACTGTCAGCCTACTATCTGTGGTATTCTCCAGCCACCTCTGGCCTGTCCCATTCATTACACATTTGGGTTAGGAAAAGTTGTGGTGGCATATATTCTAGATTTTTTGCAGAAATCTTGTATTTTTATGGGATGTTATGGTATCCCAATAAAGCTTTTAGGATTGTCAGTTGTCCCATATTGTGTATTTTTATGAATATTAAATTAAAATTCTGTCAGAATTAACCAGTTATAAATATGACTTCACTGCCTCTAATACAATTTTTATAATGTTGTACTGTTATAGGTTAAAGCTATTTATTTCAAGACTGTGTGTTCAGTTGAAAAGCATTTACAATGAACTCAGACATTTAATAATCTGATTGTCATTTCTTCACTCCTTTTAAAACACGTGGATATTAGAAACGTTAAATTTTCAAAAATTATCTCTGGTGCAATGACAATGGAAATGCTCATCTCTGTATTTTGCACACAGTCTCAAAAGACAAATGTAAGATATTTTTAAACATTTACATGAATATTGGTCATTATTGTTAATTTATGCAGTGTATTACTGTAGAAGTAAATAACACTGTCATTGTATGTGGTATTTCTATATATTTTCTTCTAAATATAATGTATTACAGGCCTCACATGCCCTCCCATTTCAAAATTCATAATTATTATTAAATTGCTGTCCCCTTATTCAGAAATATTGAAACGAATAACAAACTTTATTGTCTGCACATTTACCACATGCACCAGATGTGAACATTCACTATATGGAAATTCCCGCTAACACAGTGAGTTCTGCATGCCAGAATAATGGTGGGTTTGTTAGTAAAATAGCTTCATATTATTACAAGAACACTGAAATTACTGTATAATAATTCATAAGTATGCCATAATAAGTATTTTTAATAAATAAAAATTGAATACCAAAAGGAAATGTTTAGAACCTACTTGAGGTTTATCAGGAGCAAAGAATTTTATGTAACCCTGAAAATACACGTTTAAAGTATTAAAAATTAAATGCCTCTTTGGTTGGTTGAAATTGGCAGAGTAAAAAAGTATTAATTTGATTTGCTTCATTCTGGTCTGTCACACTCACAATTACAAAGGTAAAAATAATACCGTCTAATGTGACTATTTAAGTTTTATCACTTGAAGATTTGTCTCCCTTACATGTTTCGATCCTTATGGATCATCCTCAGAGGGTATCAATACTTTCAGAAACTACTATTACAATAGCTGTTAATTGTATGGATACACATATGATGTCTAAAATGCACAATATACGCAGTGTTCAACCTTCCACATTCACAGCGGCCTTCTTGGTGTTAAAAATTTTTAAAAAGTTTGTTTAAAAAAAACTTTCAAGATCAAGCTTAAAATTTATGAACCATACAGGAGTGTAAACAACACAGCAGGCCACAAATAAACAAGGAAATGCTAAGAATCTCCTTTCGCAAGATAAACAGGCGGCACAGGACAAGCCACCTTCACAAATAACAATAGGAGAATTGACGCAAAAATGTATGGTTCATAAATTTTAAGCTTGATCTTGAAAGTTTTTTTTTAAACAAACTTTTTAACAAGTTTTAACACCAAGAAGGCCTCCATGAATGTGGAGGGTTGAACACTGCGTATATTATGCATTTTAGACATCATATGTGTATCCATACAATTAACAGGTATTGTAATAGTAGTTTCTGAAAGTCTTGATACCCTCTGAGGATGATCCGTTAAGGATCGAAACATGTAAGGGAGACAAATCCTCAAGTGATAAAACTTAAATAGTCGCATTAGACGGTATTATTTTTGCCTTTGTAAAAAAGTATGTATAGTAACATATCTTTATCTTTATCAATTCAATGTATTATTTTATCGTAACATGCACAGAACCAAAGTGAAATGTGCCAGCTTGCCATGAAATTGTTCATTTTAAGATGTCTTTCAAGTGTTATGTCCTTTTTTTCTTTTTAAGTTTTTGATGTATGTAATTAAAATGTGAAAATTTAAATATATTGCTGTGTTTTAAGCAAATTGTTCAGGTTCTCTGTTTTTGCTTGAATAAAGTAATGTTGTAGGTCAGATAGTCCCCAGAGCATTCCTTCTGTCAGGTTTACAATATCTTGCAAACAACTATGATGCTAAAGTGTTTCCTGCATATGTAGCATGTTGATGTGTTACAAGTATCTTAAATCTGGAATAATGTTGTCTGGCCTGTCATATAAAAAGCAGTAGTGCTAGCCATTACACCATGATAGTATAAATTCTATTTTTTTAACATTTTCGTGTGTTGATGTTGGAACCTGGCTTGTGCAGTCCCTCCGCCCCTCGGGAAAATTCGCTACAGCATGCCCCCGTTAGTCAAAGGAAGGAAGGAAGTTAAGATCATCAAATCTGTGGCTGAATGTTCTTTTTGTTGAAGAAATATTGCAGAAAGAATGGAAGGTCTCCTATGTTCGACTTTTATTTCATAGCATATAGAAAAAAAGCATAATTCTAGATCGTCTCTGACATAAGACTAGAATGATGGCATTCCATGGAACAAACTACCTCTCTGGCCCAGATATTGCTTTGAACGTATTAAAAATGAGCCAAATAAACATTAAATACGTGGCCAGCAGCCAAGATTCCCTTGTTCCCTGAACTATTTATTGAGCTGAGCCCTTCTTGAGGAGAAACCAAATCTGTAGCTACTCAAGAATTTCCCAGCATTTTATGGAACCTGAAGGTTCCTTACCGTGTTCACAAGAGCCCTCCACCAGTCCCTATCCTGAGCCAGATCAATCCAATCCTGTCTCTAAGATCCATTTTAATATTTTCCACCCACCTACGCCTTGGTCTTCCCAGGGGTCTCTTTCCTTATGGCTTTCCCACCAGTATCCTATATGCATTGCCTTTCTCCCCCGAACTGTTACATTTAAAAGTTCCTATTGCTTTTCTGATGTGTTTGTTGCCTTGCGAACTAACAAAAATAGCCGTGAGTGGTGTTGACAACTGGTTCTAGATGTAGTTAACACTTTCGTCAAGAGATGGAATTACTCGTATTTAGTTAGATGGATTGCGTATAATAGAGATGTTTGAAAACACTGAGTGCACATTTTGAAAAGAGGATCACAAGGTGACAAGGGCAGGTCCGCCAACTCCGTTACTTCTCTGATGGAGAGATCCTCAATTCGAATTTTGGCCAGGACACCAAGTATTCCAACGGAGTTTTTCGTGGTTTTCCCCAGTCTTTCCGGGATAGTACCTTAAATTGGTTTTTTTTTTAATTCGCTTAGGAGGGGTGGAGTCCAACTGGGTCCACTCGGCACGGCGGCCACTGATTACCCTATTGTAGCCTGCCCGGGTGATTATGATGATGGAGAATTTTGTGGAATGAAGATTGGCAGGGGAAACCGANAGGTATCGGTAAGGTGGTCATGTATGGCAAATTTGGAAGGACGTTTTAATGTAATTTCCCTGCATTTAATCGGCGTGAC